TGTGTGTGTGTGGTGGGGGTAGATTTGGCAATTGCTGATCTGATTAGGATAGGAAAGGGCTTCCCTGCTGGACGTAAGGAGATTACGATCCTCCTCTTCCACTCTCCGCTGCAGTTCAGCTAAGCTGGACGCAGCAGCAGACTGCTTCCACTCTCCGCTGCAGTTCAGCTAAGCTGGACGCAGCAGCAGACTGTGCGACGTAGCAAAGAGACAAAGACTTAAGGAAGGGAGTAGAAATGGAAGCGAAGTACTGCCTGGGGGATACGATAGATGGCTTTATGAAGAAAGGCACAGACGCTCCCTGGCTGCCTTTTGCAAACCTGGGAAACCTTTATTTCTTAACATCTTTATGTTGATACTTTAAAAGGATTGCTCTTTTTAAACTTTTTTTTATTATTATTATCAGCTTTATATTTTTCGTCCTGCTAAGCATTTTTTGCTGTAAATTTTACCATAATTTTCTCACCCACTTGATTATTTGCTCATAATTCTTGCAACAATGTTGAGTATGTATCACTGCTGGCGTCCACTGTATGATGGATATGAATGTCTACAGCTGATGGAGCAGAACGGAGGATTCGGAAACAATGGAGCACAGCCACCCATGCAGATCCAGGGTGTCCATAACAGTGCAGGTAAGGATGCATAATAACGAGAGGATCTCTGAAGATTGCAGGTTATTGCATGCTTAAACAGCCCTGTAGAATATCTTTAAATCTCTGGCTTAGCAGGCAAACAAATGTGTTGCTGTATGTTCCAAGTAACCTAAACAACTTTGCCCTTCTGAACAAGTAGGAAGATGTTTATAAGACATAAATCTTTTGGCAAATAATAAACTACATTTTTTTTCATTATTTTCCTTTTATGCTCTTGAGTATAGAACTAGAACAAGTAGAAATTTTAGTCGGTCTTTCATAAGCCATAACTATACTATATTTAAAACGTTTAGTATAAATACATTAGTGGTTTAAATTTTGTTTTTTTACTGTGGGGATTTTTAGCTTTACATGGCCTATGTAGAACAGTGATGCTTTATATACCATACTTTAAAAGTGTACTGAGCATCAATACTAGGAATTGATTCTTGCAATTAAGGCAGTTCACCAGTAGAAAAAGAATTGATCGTTGCATTTTAAATATTGAATGAAAAATAAGCAAAATAACAGCACTGAATTGACCTGTTACTGAAATGTGCTTTACAAATAAAACTGCCTTACCCTGATAATCCCTATAGCAAACACAGATTTCCCATTTCTGTTTCTGGATTGGAGTAAACTTTATTAAAAGACGTTCCTTTTATTGTGTTGTTCCTTTTGTACATTTGCCAAAACTACCGTAATGAGCTTATCTTTCTTCCTCAAACACAGCCTGATGCTTAATAAGAGGATTTCTGCGCTGCTCGTCAGCCATCTGTTGAAAAGCAGAGCGTGTTTTGTTCTTTGCTTTGTTGATCCCTTCTAACTGCCTCTAATATGAACACATAAAGAATCTTGCTCACTGGGTGCTGTTATGATTGAACTTTATTGATCTCACATTGGAGAAATTCACTCTCTGGATTTAACCCATCCCCTTGGGGGAGCAGTGGGCTGCCATTGTGCAGCGCCCAGGGAGCAGTGTGGGGTTACAGATCTTTGCTCAGAGACCCAGAGAGGCAGTTTGTGGGAGTGGGGTTCGAACTCAGAACCTCAGGACTCCAAGCTCTATGCCCTAACCCAGGGGTCGGCAACCCAAACTGCTCAAAGAGCCATATTGGACCAAAAAAACCAAAAAATAAATCTGTCTGGAGCCGCAAAAATGCAAAAGTCTTATATATGCCTCTTATGGTAACACGGGCTCTAAGTGTATTATTCCACTATAGAAAAGGACTATGTGGGCTTAAAATATAATAAGCATTGATGATTAAATGTTTATCCTGGAGCAAATGTCACATAGCAGCATGAGGTGATGGGCGAGCAGTGAATACTCCCATCACACGCCACTTCACCGCGCCAGGTGCATTGATGAAATTGTAGAAACAGGATAAAGGAATCTTTCTATGGTGGACGTGTTTCTGTTGGGATGAGTTGATTGAGTCATGAGGAACCAAGCAGGAACTGACATCCATCAGAGCAGAGCTCTCTAACCCTGAAATCCCACATCCTCTGTCACAGCGTTCCTTGGTGTGATTTATATTTTTAGGATTTGGGGAAAAAAATGGAAGAAAGTTCAGATACCTGCATCAGAGTTCTACCTGTTTGAAATGTGGACGATTTTCCATCCTTGCAACCAAACTAGCAGCAGTAGTGGAGTTTGGAGATGCAATCCACTTCTTAAATCTATCTTTATTAATTTATCCAGAAGTTCTGCAATCGCACTTTTTCTCTCACTTCCAGCTCGGTGGTCGGCTGCATATTTAGCCTTCCCTGGAAATGCCTTTCCTAATTTTTCTTTTTATTTTTTGACAACTTCTCATTACAAAGCAAAAATGCAGGCAACCCTCCTGCATTGATAATGAAAGCAAATGATTCAGTCCATTTTCTTTGAATCCTCTGTTCTCATTAGCTATCTTCCTTTTTTCCCTTTGGAATCCATGGTGCGAGACACACCTGCAGCTTTGTTTGCCTGGCACCGCTCCATGCTGGTCGCAAGTTATGACCACTGATCTCTATGGCTATGACGCAAATTATTGTTTACATTTATTTATTATACAAATGTTTACAGCATTGAAAAAATAAATTATTTTAGTTTGACCTCCTGCACACCATAAAAAAAAAAAAAAAAAAAAAAAATTTCATAAATTTTTCAAAAAGCTCCAGGGGGACGCTAAAGAGCCGCATGTGGCTCACCGACCCCCCACGCTAACCACTAGGCCACCTCTCCCCAAACATTGGGACAGCATATATTTACACTGGTGTGTTTTCTGTCTTGGTAGGACCAGGAGTGTTTGATCCTGATCAGGCAGGAAGTGGATTCCTGGACCTCTTGAGGGGAGGAACAGAGCGCTTCTTGACCAACATTAAAGATACATCATCTAAAGTGATCCAGTCTGTAGCCAGGTAAGGGGCTCCAATGTTTCATGCTGTGAGGGTCTTTTTTTTTTCTTGCTTTATTTTAATTATTTTTCAGGACAAGATATAAAAAACAAAAAAGCCAAAACCTGTAGTATGTGTGTGTATATGNATGATTTTGATAGTGCATACTTCTGCTTTAGTGCAGCTGGAATCTCTTCTTCCTGTTTAGTGATGTTTCAGCTTTCCTCATGTTTGTTTGTCTCTGCGGCTCAGTGTGAAAACATCGACATGCACTACAGTTTTGGGATGTTTTCCTTTATATGCACGCTGGTTTTTCGTTTTTGTTCTCGCTTGGGGAATGTTTATCAGCTTCTCAATGCTGTAGGTTACGTTTTAAAAATGGATTGAAGTGAATTAGTATTTGCTTTGCAGCTTTTATGTTCCTTCACTCTAAAGGTAAATAATTTATTCTACCTTTTCAACATATTTACAGTCATGTTGAAACATTTGTAGTTTTCACACAAACCATCAGTACTTTGTTGGTACTTAAAAGCACTTTGGAGGGAATGTAAACAGTTGTACACTTTCAGTCAGAAATTTACTGAGACTCGTCTTCAACGATTGAATGTTTATTTTTAGGGGGATTTTATTATACAACTTCCATTAGTTTTAAAATCAGGAATTGGTGCTCCAGTAATAATTTGTTTCACTGTTGTAACTCATCCATATATGCTCAAAAATATTCTGTACACAAATCCCTTCTTATTTTGGTTAGATTTACGTCAGTTACAGAGAAACACATTTTTTTATCAAACCTACCACAAACTGGAGTAAGTTTGGCTGGATATCTAAGCCCTCATCAGAAAAGGAAATCCTTTAAACAGGTTGCTATTCAGTCCTGTTGGAACGAACTGTCTGGTCCAAATTTGAACCTTCACGCTGCTGAATTAAAGGAATAACTTAAAAGTAATGTTCTCTTTTCATTAGCCCCCTGCTTTGTGTAATATAAACACATCACTGGCAGCCAAACAATCCCCCAGCATGATGCTGCCATCACCATGGAGGACTGTTATGTCTAAAAACATCACCTCCAAATGTTGTTTTAGGCAAAACATTAACTGGTTTCATATTTAAAGGTTGGTTCTGTAGAAAGGCTTTTTTTTTTCTTGGTCAACACTTTTTAACACAATTTATGATTCATTGAGTGTTTGACTCTTGGCTTTTTTTTTCATCTGATGACCAACTTGTGGTTGGAAGGTAAACATAGATGTATTTTCTTTCTGACAGCACAACGACCCAAAACACATCAAAACATATAATTAAGCCTGCTGGTATAATTTGGACACCGTTTGGATTAGAGAAAATCTATAATTAAACGTTGGCACCTAGTTCTTTTTTTTAAACCCAATTGTAGTTGTTTGTTGTATAAATATTCCAAGCTTGGGAAAACAGAGATTCTAAGATGTCATTAAAGCCCCCAAATATTTTGATCTTGGCATCTATAATTACTGCCTGCAGACTGACTGAAAGTGTATATCTTACAACAATTCTATTTCTTTTTATATAAAGAAAACATCCTCTGTTGTAGAAAGCTAACAAAAATAGAAGTAGTGCTGACAGATACCAGGTGCCCAACTTTAAGATATATATATATATATATATTTATTATTATTATTATTATTATTATTATTATTATTATTATTATTATTATTATTATTATTATTATTATTATTATTATTATTTTTTTTTTTTTTTTTTTTTGGGGGGGTCTGGATTGGAATTAAAATAAGAAAAGGGAACATTATTCTCTATCCCATTGTTTAAAAATGTAACCATTCATCCATCCATGTATCAACATTCATCTATCTCTCTAGTATCCATACTTGTATATCTTTTTTCTGCCATATACTTGATCTCCTGAAACTAGATTTTTGCCTTAACTAAAGTTTTTTTTTTTTATTCTTTTTGCCTTAAAATTGCTTAAGTTTTATTGGAGCACAGTTAAATTCTTCAAAGATCAAAGCATTGGTCTAAGTATACCTTTATAAAATGTAATTTGGCTTTTTAGGGTTTGAGTTGAATTAAATCCTGGTCCTCAGGGTCAACTGCTTTAGGGTTTTTCCTGCCTACAAAAACCTGACTTGAGGAAATGGCTGATAAATGGATGTCTCCATCACTCTGAGGCTGCGGAGGTTGAAATTCAATCATTTTCAATTCTCTGAAGCTGATAATAATCTGAAACATGCAGGACAGTGGATCCTGAGGACCAGGGCTGAAGACCTCTGTCCTAGAAGACACTCTAAACTATCACAACACCATATTATCGCAGTCTGATAGGGCTGATTAGCATATTATTAGCACCACGTTCATCTCTAGGACACACTAAATTTCTTATTGTGCAATTTGATGACAGGACATTCCCACGGTGTTTATACCTGCATTAACTGTGTGAACAAGGTGATATGACACCTTTAAGTGTCTGTTGTTTGTGTCAAAGCATGGCCCAGACTTCTGGAAGTCCACAGTTAAGTTATTGTGTTGTAAGAGGGCAGGGTGTTTAGAGCTCATAGAGAGTCAATGGGGATGAAAACAGCCAACAAGATTTTCTGTAGGGGGCTTGCATAGCTCTGACCGAGATGGACCCAGGTCCATTTTAGCCGAACTACTCAGCAATTTAGAGGACATTTCATTGTTCTGACAGGAAGAGAGACAAAGTAAACATGGCAAAGTAAAATACAAAATAAAATCTCTCAGGGAAAGCAGCCAGGTTTGGAGTCGCGCAGCCTATATATAGACCATCAATAAAACATTTTAAAAAGGAATACTTTACCATTGATAGGAGTTCAGAGGACAGAAAAAGGATAAAGTAACATTATGATCCTCTGTGAGCAGCACAAAAACGTGGAACAGACAGTGCAGCTTATCACTCTCCCCTCTTTATTGAAAAAGAACTAATTTGACAAACTTAACAGATCGCTCCATTATAACCACCTTCCCTACCTCACCATTGTTGTTGCATTTTCCATTTCTTTACATGTTTCTATTATTCTTAATCTATATATTTGTAATGCTATAGAGCGAACCTTACTATAAGCCGTGCCCACTAAATAAAAAAAATAAAAAAATTAGAAATCTACATTAATAAGCCACACCGGACTATACGCCACTGATATCCACTGGACTTTCTCCCACCAAACCTATAGGGGGAGCTCTACACATCACCCTTAGAGTAGGACAAAGAAAATGCTAGCTTCTGTTAGCTTGTGGGCGGTGGCAACAAGAGTTTGTGATGAAGGACGGGGCTTTGTCAGTTCCTTGTTTCAGCTCTGCAGGAGTTGAGCCCAGTTTCTTCATTGGTTAAACAGATTTAATGGGGCAAATAAATGATAATGGGCCGGATTTATCAAGATCCAATTTTGCGTGCAGTAATTTGCGCTCGCAAACTGGAATTTTGCGCGAGGGGCCAAACCATGGTTTGCGGGTGATTTAACAAGAGCGATTGCGTAACTGGTGGCAGGTGCAAAACTGTTGGAGACGCCCTATTTAAATGATGGTTTTG